ATGACAAGCATGTGCCTTTTTTGTGACCAAAAAGCAGAAACTTCTGTAAGACATTTAGTGCAGATCCTGGTCAGTGTGTTGTGCTTTGCTGTTGGGGGCTGACGGGGTATGAAGTATAGTGCTCAAGTGCATCTCCTTTAGGCTGTAGTTGCTTTTATATGAAGAGTTAGGAGAGAACTGCCAACAGAAATGGTATTGCATTGGGCAGTAGGGAAAAGGCTGTTGGCAGTGGCAGAGGAGCCGTGTTGCAATTGCTTGCCCTTTTTATTTTTTTTTCTGTGAAAGAAAAAAGAGTGCACAATGCAATGGTTGGCAGAATTGGGATAATTAATGTTTTCTCAGTATGGCAGCCTCTAATTAGACAGAAGGAAAGGATTAACTCTGGAATGTTTCCTTTGCTTCTTTCTAGAAGATGCTACTGATGGTTGTTTCTGGTTGCACAAACCTACTGCTAGTTCATGGAAGCTGTTCTGTAATGCTATATAGTTGCTTTCATTGAACCCCCATGAAGAATGCTCCATGGAAGATGCAACTTCCACACAAATGGTCTCCATGGGGTCAGATGTAGGTGGCAGTGCCCAAATTCTGAGCATTGCAGTCTGGGCCCCTCTGCTGGCAGTATTTGCTGACAGCTGCTGCCCGGTCAACCAACACGTGCAGTCTGTTCAGCTCCTTCCTGATGCTGGCTTCTGACATTCCTTATCAGCTTCAGCTCCTTGCTTAGAGCGGCATCAGCTACAGCTGGCTGACAGTGACTGTGTCCTATCAAGCGGTGGGTATATCCCAGGATGGAGACTCCACAATCTCTCTGGTAAACCTAAACCCCGTTTGTTCAGACAGAGCCTCCTGTGTGTCAGTTTATGCCCACTGTCTCCTGTCCTGTCACTGGGCACTGCTGATGGGAGCCTGGCTCTGTCCTGTTATCACCCTCCCTGCTGATGATGAACACTTCAAAAAAATTCTCAGGTGGTTGAATACCTGGATAAGATCCTGCCAAGCTGTCCCTTCTCCAGGCTGAACAGCCCTAGCTCACTCACGCCCCTGTACATCAGGAGCATTAGGGCTGCCTCTGTCCCATCCTGGGGAGCCCAGTGCTGCAGGTGTGGCCTCGTGGTGCTGAGCTGGGAGGAGGGATCACCTCCCTCAACCTGCTGGTGGTGTTTTGCCTGGGAGGCTGTTGGCCTGTTGTGCTGCCAGGGCATGCTGCTGGCTCATGGTCAACTTGTCTACCAGGTCTTTCCCTGTGGAGCTGCTTTCCAGCTGGCTTCCCAGCATGTCCTGGTGCAAGGGGCTGTTCCTCCCTTGGGACAGGACTTTGTGCTTCTCTTGATGAGCTGCACATGGGTCCTGTTGGCCCATTTCTCCAGCCTGCCAAGGTCCCTCTGGATGGCAGCACAGTCCCCAGGGTACCTGATGCTTCTCCCAGCTTGGTGTCATGTGCAAACTTTGTCCTCTTTCCATCCCACTGGATTGCAGTTCTTTTGCCGCTTGGAAGGTGTAGTTTTAATCTCTCACCAAGTTACATTCCTAGTCTTCCCTTGCAAGGGGGAGGCCAGAAGCAGGTTCACATTTACATGTATTCCTCCAGAATAACTTAACCTTTTTCCTCTTTTAATCTCTTTACAGGCTTTTCTCCCAGCCTTTCCATTCCTGTCACTTGTGTTTTTATGGGCTCTGCTCTTGGCACAACGGGCAGCATGGAAATCTTTGTCAAGTAATCACCCTTTGACTCCATAGGCTGTTCCGTACTTATCCAGTGTGCTTTATTATCCTGAAGTCAGAGTCTCTTAAACTTAAAATCTTATAAACGCAATAGTTTGGGCAAAGAGCAAAAACTGGCTGTTAAGTTTCAGCATGTGGTGCTTGGGTGGTCTTGAGCTTCTTCCAGAGGAGAGGGCTTTGCTCAGGCGAGCAGCAGCTGGCGGCTCTGCTCCCTAGTTCGCTTTGTGGCAGAGCCCTCTGAGGGGCCTGAGCGAGACCAAGGGCTCATGGGCACCAGGTGGGAGCCTTCTGCTGAAAATACTGACTTTTAGTTTTGATTGTTGGTATTGTGCAATGAGAAACACGTTAAAAGGCTCGTGAAGAAACTTTAAAAACAGTCAAGATATTGTCTGGGTCAGAGAGCAGAAAAAAAGAAGGTTTGTGATAGGCCACATTACACCCTCATCCCTTGTAGCTACTGTGCATCTGTCACATCTCTCAAGAGCTACAGGGGATACTGTGAAACAAGTATCTCATGGGGAAACAATTATTGATACATGCATGTAGACAGTGCCATTTAAACTTTTAAGTAATTCCTAAAACTAAGTAATTAAAGTATTAAAATTATTTTAGAGTAATTCCTAAAAGTCTTGCTTTTAGATATTTTACTTTGCTTTGAAACAATTTCTGGTGTTTTTTTTTGTGGGGATTTTTTTTTTTTTTTTTTTTTTTGAGATTCTATTTCACATTGCAAAAGGTCAAAAAATCCTCATCTGCTGTTGCCAGCTGTTTTTTTCGTGCTTCGGTATACACTGATGTGACACAAGCAAGCATGTTAGCTGCTTGTAGCAACACCACTGTTTTGAAGAGGAATGAAAAGGACACATGGATTTTGGGGTACAACTGGGAGAAGTTCAGCCTGGTGCAACCCTGATTTTTCTTGAGCAGTTTGGAGAGTTCCCTCCCTGCCTGCAGTTCTCAGAAGCAGACAGGCTGCAAATCCTGGCAGGATTTTGGGGTGCCGGATGCAGGGAGCTGCCGCTCTGCCTCTGAACCAACTGCTTTGCCAGCGCTTGGCTGTTCCTTGTCTAGTGGGAGAAGCTGCTGGGCCATGATGTAAGCCCAACTGACACTGCTCATCATTAGTTGTCACTTTGGTAAGTCATTGATATTTTCTCAAGGAAAAATGAGAAGTAGTGGTTATCGTAGTATCTCAGGTTCAGTGTTGGTCAGATGTGAAAACCTACTTGTGATATTTGAGGGTGTGGTGGTCTTTTTTATTCATTTTTTTTAGACAGTATGGTAATTTTTTATGGTGGGAAGGGTTAAGACCTCTGAAATGTATCACTGACTTCCTCTAGTGCCTTCCTGGCAACACTGGGGTTAGTGTATCTTGCAGCCTGGTTTTCTCCAGAGCCCTGACAGTGTGGTGGATCTATAGCTCTTGGCTTATGTCAAGTGCATTTTCACGTCATTCCAAACTTTAATAAATATTGCACACTCCACATTTAATGCTACAGTCTTACTGCAAATGTCTTGACTGGCTTTTCCTAGCGCCTGCTTGGTCAAAGAGGCAGTCTTTCTGAACTTTGCTGTGTGAAAGTGAGCAAGCAACTTGTCATAAAAAGAGGAGAAGGAGCTTCACCCTTCAGTTGTTCCTGGGTACATCTCATCCAGGGTTACGTGCAATGAATGGAGTAGGATTCCTGGCTGAGAAGGAACATCTAGCCTCTGAAGGGCTGCTTTGGTGTTGGATGGACTCCAGACTGTGACTTGCTGCCTCACTCCAGGTGCTTGTTCCCTCTCTGGCCACCCTGCCCAGGTGTCTTCCTGGCTCAGCCATGCTCCTGAGATCCCTGTGGCCAGGCAGCTCCCAACACCCTGGGAGCTCTGGTGCTCCAGTACCCGGCACGGGTGCATGCTAGTGCACGATGGGCTGCAGGGTGCAGGTGCTGGGCGAGCTGGTCTCCCTGCTCCCTCCCTGCCCTGGGGGGGACCCGACAGCTAGGGAGGGGAGCCAGGGTGAGACAGCAGGCTGAGCTGGGAAAGGCAACCCTCTGCAGGGAAGGAGGGAAGGGGGAGGAACAGGCAGTGGGTGCTGCTGAGAATTTGGTTCTTTTTTTCTCACACACCCCTAATACAAACCGATGCTTTCTGTTTCTGAAGTCCCTGAACACCCTTTGGCCTCTCTCCCCTTCTCTGATCCCTTGATCTCTCCAAGCACCAACCGATGGCCTTCTCTCTTGGAGGTTGTCCCCAGGTGCCACCACCCATTGAGTGGGGAAGGAGGAGAATGTCTGGCTGGTGCCTGAGAACTGGCTGCCTACCCAAAGAATAAGGTGCCCTTATAACCAGAGATACGTTGGCAGCTTTCATGTGATCTGGGGCCTGTGCTTCTGGGAGTGAATCAGCGACATCGCCTTAATGCTTGCCTGAGTTTCCTGGTTTCCCTTTTTAAAAGAAGATTGCAGAATCTTCTTTAAAGAGGGGGGAAAAAAAAAAGTGAAACACTGCCAGAGTTTACCCAGACCAAGCATATGTCATGAGAAGACAGATGTCTACAGTCCCTGTAATGCACAAATGGCAAGTAATTTTTTACTATACAAAAACTTAAACTGTGCTGCACTTTCAGTTCTTCATAACTCAGAATAACCTTTTCAATCTAAAATGCTCCTTAAATGGCGTAGGTTTTTGCAAGCATCTTACATATTTCCCAGACTTTGAGACTAATCAGAGGTATAGTTTGCAAGTTGCTTATTTGGAGCTATGTGGTTTTTCCAGTGAACCTGACAAGTTTTAACATGATCTGAGTGAAGTATGAAGGAAGAGAACCTTTATTCTGTATAATATAATTAAGAGAATTCAAGTATGCTTTCTTTTACTGAAAGAGGTGAAAAGGAATACAGCACAAACCTTTTATGCCAGATTCAGATGTTATAGTTAATGCATCTTATTTTATATAAGTGAAACTCTGTCAGGAAGTAAGTTATGGAAAACGTGAACCCTCCTGCACTTTGATTCATATCTTAGAAGACATTATTTGTAGAAAACTTTTTTTTTGCTGTTGGGAAAAAGATAACGAGTAACGCTTAATGAGCAAATACAAGGTTAGTGAAGTTGTGCTATTTTGCGAACTTTTCACATTTCTGATTGATCTGATACTCAGTTTATGGTTCCAAGCCTGTTTTTCAGCAACTGTATCTTAACTTCTGGTTTCTATTCACTCAAGGGTGATTAAGAGCAAGAAGATTCACAGAATAAGTTATCAAATGCTTTTCAGATGGTCAAAGATCACTTACCTGTCACCATAGTAGCCTTCCACTTATCTTGGAGCTGCATCTCGAAAGTGCCTTAGACTTGTCCAACATACATCTGGAAACTACAGTAGGCATGAGAAGGCTTCTTGCGATAAGGTCGTTAAATAAACCATATCTGGAAGTAAGCTTTTTTTTGCTTCTGATGGCTTTTTTTGCGATACTTGATCAGAGTCAAAATTCCCCTGGCCAGGAGCAACTGGAGCAACTGGCTTTCTCATTCCTGGGAATGACTCACATGCCAAGGTAGATGAGCAGCGCGCTCCCGCTCACTTCCTGGCTCCGGAGCAGCTCAGGCGCCCAGGATGCAGACAGTGATTCACCTGAGAGGTAGGTTAGTGCCTGTAAAAGGCAGCAGCCTTCATGCAGGGAGACGTTGCAAACTGTCTGAAGCGATGTTTTACAGCAACGTGTGCAACTGTGCCTGTGCCTTTTGGTTAATGCAGTCTTGTCTGCAGGATGAATGTGAATTTAATGTCATGCTGAAAAATCTTGTGCTGGATAGATGCAAATATCTGCTAATTGAGATTATGTCAATTATTAATTTGACTATATTTAGACACCTTTAATGTTGTGCTTTGAATAGGTCCTCTTTTAAATAGCATGTAGGATGAAAGCAAAGTGTTAAGTCTGTAACTAAACATTTCAGCTAAAGTTACTCTACTGTCTGTTTAATGCATGCTTTTTATTGACATAGTGTTCTTTAAGACTCTTTGAGTTCACTGACTCTGGCAGTCATCCTGTCAGTGGTCCTGGGTGTACGCACATTTAGAGTATGATAATTCACTGTCTAAAGAGCATTGAAATAATCATGGCAGTAGTTACAGCAAGACAAAATTTTGCTTTGTGTCAGTAGAGGAATGAGTGGTTAATTTCTCATTTCTGCCACCTTCTTAAAAAGAAAGCAAATATATGTATCTCCCTCATTAGGTCTTCAGGAGAAAAGAAAAAACAATTGTAATGCTACAAAAGCAATGGCTGCCAAGTCACTTTTCTCAGATTGTTCTTTTCTGCCTGGACGTTCTTCATACATGTTTCGTTCTTTTTTATCAAAGATCTGAGGAGCTGGGTTCCCAGCCACTCTCTTCTGAGACTGGACAGCCTTCTGCATCAGTGCCTTGACAGCCACTGGAGCCCTGTGAGGACTGGGAGCAGGAGCTGGACCTAACCAGCTGCCTCTCTGTAGTGGTGAACAGCTTCCCCTGGCTGTGTGTCCAGGGAAGCTCGCTACTAATTTCCACATTTCAGGTAGTGGGCAGACTGTAAAATTCCCACTTGCCTCAGGACCTCTGCCTTGAAGCAGGTACAGTCCCTGATCATAGGAGACTTCTGACATGGCTCATCTTTGAAGACCAACTTTTGCAAGGCAAAACAGATAAGTTAAATGGAGGCAGCAGGAACACGTGTTATACGTCTCTCTTATGTTTCCAGCTTTATTACTAGAAGCTGCCAAACTGATCTCAGGAGCTGCATGTTCTGACATTAAGAGAGGATCCCTGTTGCACATGCTGGAGTACACACGTTGCATCACTTGAGGATGGAGAAGGCTTTTTCTGCAGTAAGGGAGAGGAGGCTTGACAAAGTCTCTGCCTCTCTTAGACCTTGCACATTGCTATGTAAACCAATGTGTGCCAGCCACCATTTCACCCTGTTTCAGCTGTCCCTTGTGTTCCAGTGTTTAGCAGCTGCTGGTGCTTTGTTCCCTTCCCAACTGCTTGTCCTGCTTCTAGACCAGTGGTGCCTTCTGTTTTTCCTTCCAGTCGCTGGTTCACCCCCTCTGTGTCTTTCAGTTATTTGCCACCTTAACTTTGCCTGTGGTGGTCCAGTTCTCTGTTCTAGGTGGAGCCTATGTAGGACAGGAGTACATGTCTGACTGATGATCTGTAGGCTGCTCCTTTCTGGGGAAACATTGCTGAAGTTGCAGGAGAAAACATCCTCTCTTCCATTGAGAGGTCTTGTAATAGATGGTCCTCCTTTGGGATATTTGGACAGCCCCACATTCCAGTGTCAGAGGTCCTTAGCAGAGCAGAGACTTCACAGCTTGGGCACCGAACAAAGTATTCGTGCTGTGTTGGTCTTGCTTCTAGTGTTTCTGTACAGACTGCCTGGCAGCATGGCCCTCAGGTGGGGGCCCGTCAGATGAGCTCCTGCCACTGTTCTGAGGAACAGCAGACCCCTGGATGCCAGGGCTGAAGGCTGGAAGCAGATTTGCAGATTGATCATGAACGGTATTTTAACACTTAAATCTGAAAATTACACGTTTGGCTTGTGTTTTGCACAAGATCATGTGCTCCCAGGCTGGGTACTGTACTGGCATTGGGTACAGTTCCAACCCTGGGGTTGGTGCTGGCAGACATGGCTGCTGCTCTGGTCTCAGCCCCATGGACTTCACTCAAGACACAGCATGACAGTTGATTTGCACTATTGTTATTCAGGCACTTCTAATGCTGGTGTTGTCTTAGGCTGGGGTGTAGGAAACAGTGCTGCAGGACGTGGTGTGGCAAGAAGGGAAGAAATTGAAACTTGAAATGTTTAAAAATATAACTTAATTTCCTGCAGGGACCCATGTGTTTAATAGTTGGTACTCTGTGAATGGAGTACACACGCCAAAGTCTGTGTATTAACAGTGAGTGGTCAATTAATAAATAGATTCATAGAATGTACATGGGAATGGATTTGTTTGTTTCTGAATGTGGTGCAGTGGTACATTATTTTTTTTTAAAATCTCTATATTTTGGTGTATCAGTAAAACTTAATGAGTTAGAAGCCACTGTGTTAGCATCCCCTAGCAGGCTTTTAAGTAAGACATTGTTGTTTGGCTATTCTCAGGCCGGAGCATGTCAGGACTAGCTGACACATGAAAAGGAAATGCTGTGGAGCTTGTCGTAAAAACAGCGCAAAAGGCATGTGAAGCTCTGATGTAAAGAAAAGCTGAAAGCTAGCCTATAACTTTATTATTGTTCACATTATTTAAAGGTTGGATGTCCCTTTTTGTGTTCTGGTGATTAGAGAGCAATTCTCAGATTTCATAAAAGCCTGAGCAATGTTATTACAAAAATTATGGTGTTGCTTCATTCTAAAACTACTTTACTATCACATTTAGCAATGTGAACTACAGGGTTATTTTTAAAGCAGATTAACCACCTGGATAATATATGAGATTGACATATTTTTAAGCATAGAAAAGTGGTAGCAGGATCAGGGCTTGCAACACTGGGAGGATTCCTCCAGCATTCTACCTGCAGATGTTCAAGATGGAGGTGCTTTTGTTAATGGAAGTGTCTTGGAAGAGTTTGACCCTTCCCCTTTCCTTAGGTGGTTTACTTCAATCACTGTTTTGATGGCTTTCACTGAAAGGGACTAATTAAGAGCTGACTTTAAACAGCTCATTTCATTGTTCCTCACCCGATGTTGACAAGCAACCTAGAGTTACACACCTTGGCTGGGTGACACTCTCTATAGACTTAGGCCTGTTCTAGTGCCTTTAGTTTTCATATGTGACCTGCTGGCTTTGTGTGTTTGCATGTCATCGTATGAGTAATACCTTGGTTGCTCAACTTGGTTTCCCAGCTCGTGTTCATGATGCAAATTGTTATTTTGCATTTCTAATTAATTGAAGTACTGCTGTATGTTACGAGAGTTTTCTCAGTACTCAGAGTTGAAGGAACCGTGATGGAGGGATGTGTGTCGCTGTGCCAGAGAATCGGGACACGTATGAAGTGCAGAATTTGTCTTTAGGCATTCAGGAATTAGCTTCCTGTGCCTCTGAGAAGAGGCAGTCTAACACAGAATCTGGAAGGCTAGATGATTTGTGTATTAGGTATAATATGTTTATTTTTCTAGGTATAATATATCTCCTTCTTCTGAAACAGAAGAAAGTAAAAAATACAAAATAATATATGAAAGCCTTTGTGTACCCAAATAAAATTGAGTTCCTACAAAACTCGACTGCCTACTACCCTGTAGTTCCCCTTTTGGAAACCCAACAACCTGGAAAAATGTTTAGAAAAAGTGTCAATAGTTTCTGTGTGAATTGTGAACCTTAGGTGCTTGGAATAAGATTAATTTGTCTGAACAAGCTTAAGGCCTGGTGCCAGTTTTCCAGTTTCTAGGTTGTCTGCTGCTTCTATGTGGAGTGTAGGCAAGCCAAAAAATTGAACAGTTGGCTGCAGAAAGGAAAAGCCCAGCTGCTGCCTTGTGATGATGGACTGGAGTGAGTACGCACAAGGTGGGAATGTTGCATGCATTTTCTCTGTCTTGCACAAGTGCTAAATCTAGGAAAAACAAAGGATCTAAAAACTTGCAGAAAAAAGTGAAAATCCCAAATGTTAGAATTTGGAGGACCTTTTTTTTTTTTCTCCTGTAAGTGGAAGAACCAGACATCCTATCCTTTCACTCACCTTGCATTTCTCTGCTGCAGCTTTGATAACTCTGCCTCCCTTTTACCTACCAAAGAAGCAGCAGCTGAAAAACAGATGATTAAGACTCCTCTGGAAGCCTTGGCACACCCCTTATTTAAGGAGCAACTCAGCCCATTTTGTGGTTACACCCATCCTTACATGCAGGCTCTTAGCACTTCGCTGTGTGTGCTTCCAGCATGTGTTTGTGCACAGCCTAAAGTGAGCCCAATGTTAAAAGTAGTAGAAATGAGAAAATGAAACTTTCACAGTGGAATAAATTTTCTGTTCTTCAGCATTTTCATAGTTTATCACTGCCATATTGCCCATCTTATGTTACTGTCTCTCTCTGTAATAACCACAAAAATGGGCCAGGGTTCCACTTCTAGATGCGGAGCTTGATGTTAATTTGTGCTGAGAGTCCCTGGGACCTCTGTATTAGCTGTGCTGGTGTGATTCATTTGGAAGAGGGAAGACCGAGCTGCAAAGTTTCATGCTGAATTCTTCCCTATATACACCCAGAGCTCAGGAACACAGATTTCCATGGGCACCTCCCTGGTAAAAGATTGCTGCTTGTTTTCAATGTCTTCTCCTGATGTTTAGCTCTGGTCACTACATTAATTGCTGT